AAGGTTTTAACCTTAACAAAGTAAAATTACATATAATTTGGGAATTTGGGTGTAGCTTCTCTTACTACTTCCTGCTGGAGGGACAGGGTGCTGTATCTTATGGGGACACAAAGAAAATTTTAGGATTATGGAATCGTCCATGAGGCTGTATTGTCTGAGCCACTTGCCTTGAATCTGATCTGGACATTAGATTATCTGGCCCATGGTGTCATCGGAGACCTTTCAGGGTGTCTTGGCTGGTCAAACATGATGTATCTTAATCTGGAACAAATCCATAGCCTCTTGCTTTCTGTGGAAACAAATGCAGAGTCTCCTTTCAAAGTAACACATCCTTATATCCAAATTTAAAAGTCAAGGAATCTTTAAAATGAACATATTGGTTTAACTCAACATCTTTTTCGGTCAAATATTTTTCTGCAGTTAAAAACCCCAAAGACAACACAATCCAGATTCTCTGTGTAATATTCATCTTTACGTGGCTTATTTTTATATTAATTTTACTGTCTCCTTAAAGACTTTAATTTTTAAAACTATGTATCTGTTTATATAACTGTATATATCACCTTTTTTGTCTCTTTCAAGCCTATGTATATTTTACACACATTGTAAACTATTACATCTGAATCTGTCTTATTGTGAATCTGTTGCTGTAAACTGAAGCAATTGTAAGACCGAAATGGTGCTATGGCTGCTGGCTCTGCCCACCTCAGCTTCCCAACATGGTGGTGGTACGTTTACCACCAGCTCTGGGAGCTATCATGGGTCTATGCTTATATCCAAGCAGCGTGTACCCCAGAAACCTATATTTTTTGGTACTAGCAAAGGCTAAATGCACTATGCAGCTTAGATGCGCCACTTGCAGAGGCCTCATTCCTGCCATACTGCAGATCTAGCTCGAAGCTAGGAACCCACCAGTATCTCAAACTGGCAAGCTGCTGCTCATTTGAGAGAGACAATTAGACAACTGTTTTTAGATCCGTTTTAGAATCTTTTCTCAAGTTTTAGGTGGAAACTCTTGCCAACTCATTGGGTGCCATTTGTTGCTAGAGTATTCCTGCCTGGCCCACAGTCAGGACAAATCTTTGTCACCCACAAGTCCCACAGACACTCAGACCCAACCAAGTAAACACAGAGGCTTATATTGCTTACAAACTGTATGGCCGTGGCAGGCTTCTTGCTAACTGTTCTTATATCTGAAATTAACCCATTTCTATAAATCTATACCTTGCCAGAGGCTCGTGGCTTACCGGTATCTTCACATGCAGCTTGTCGTGGTGGTGGCTGGCAGTGTCTCTGACTCTGCCTTCCACTTCCCAGAATTCTTCTCCTCCTTGTCCCGCCTATACTTCCTCCTACCTGACTACTGGCCAATCAGTTTTTTATTTACTAACCAATCAGAGCAACACATTTGCCATACAGAACATCCCAAAGTAGGTCAGTGCTTACAAAGTCACCCTTAGTCCCTGTAGTCCCTAAATGAGCCAGCAACTGTTTCCTCCTTTAACAACCAAATCCACATCTTCTCATGGTTTAAACATATGGAGCTTCCTCTTCAGCTGCTCTGGAACCCTCATCAGCTCCTAAGAACTTTTCCATCTTCCTGGGAGAAAAAAAATGCCCTAGGGCAAGAGAAAC